TACAGTTCCTCATGTTATGGTTAGCCAAACTATAAAATTATTTTGTTTCTGTGATTTTGCTACTGTTATGAAGCAGAATGTAAATATCTTATATGCAGGATATCTGATATATGACCTACAAAAGGGCTGCGATCTACAGGTTAAAAATCACTGTGTTAGGCCTATCATTCCAGCCCCATTAAAATGACTGTGCTTTTACAAAATCATTATCAGGTTTGGTAAGAGGTCAAGCAGTACATAAAGTTACTTGCTACCAAGGCTGGTGATGTCAATTTGATCCTCAGAATAGCAGATGGTTAGGGGAGAACTCCTGCAAGTTGACATTTAACATTCACAAGTGTAGTGTGGTATGGCAATGCTCTCTCTCTCTCTCTCTCTCTCTCTCTCTCTCTCTCTCTCACACACACACACACACACACACACACACATATATATATGGAGGAAAGGATACACATTTGTATACCTACAAATGCGAAATAAATAATGTAAATGCATTAGTAAAAGATTCTTATTTCCTTCTCACATGTTAGTATGTTTGTATGTTAGTATGTTTGAAATCTTCCTTTACTAGTAAACTTTATGTGATTTACCCTTTTCCATTACATGTCACATTTATTTTATTTCCTATTTTATTATTCAAAAGTCAAATCATTTCTAAGAGTGCATTTCATTCATCTCTCCTCAGCTAGAACTTCAGTGACCTTTTTTTTCCTTTTTTTCATTTTTTTTTATTATTGAGAAAAGGAAGAAAAATAAAACAAGTTTCCACCTCCTCCCAGCCTCCCATTTCCCTCCCCCTCCTCCCACCCTTCTCCCCCTCCTCCCATCCTTCTCCCCCTCCTCCCACTCCTCTCCCCCTCCCTCTCCAGTCCAAAGAGCAGTCAGGGTTCCCTGCCCTGTGGTAAGTCCTAGGTCCTCCCCCCTCTGTCCATATCTAGGAAGGTGAACATCCAAACTGGCTAGGCTCCCACAAAGCCAGCACATTGCGTAGGATCAAAATCCCGTGCCATTGTCCTTGGCTTCTCATCAGCCCTCATTGTTCGCCATGTTCAGAGAGTCCAGTTTTAACCCATGCTTTTTCAGTCACAGTCCAGCTGGCGTTGGTGAGCTCCCAGTAGATCAGCTCCACTGTCTCAATGGGTGGGTGCACCCCTCGTGGTCCCCGACTTCTTTGCTCATGTTCTCCCTACTTCTGCTCCTCATTGGGACCTTGGGAGCTCAGTCCAGTGCTCCAGTGTGGGTCTCTGTCTCTATCTCCATCCATCACCAGATGTTTGCTTGTAATTTTATTTTAGCATCTACAATTTCTTAGTAGTTTAGGAGGACCCCTTGAAAATTGTAAAGGAATTATCTATGTTTAATCCCTTTTATAAACAAACTTTCAGAAACACTGCTCCCAATGAAGAGATACTCTTTGATTGCCTCAAAAGAGTTCAACTAACCTTTCGGATTCAAACACCTGTTTGCTTAAAAAAATAATCTGAGGTTTTACTTAGTGGAAGCCTAGTGAGGTTCTTTAGTGAAACAATATAAATGAATGAGTAATTGAATATTATATAACACTTTTTTCACATTTAGGCTAAATACAATAATTTGATAATATCGCTAACAACACAAATTTCTTCTAAATGTTCACTAAATTTTCAAGAAAAACTTTTTTTTTTGCAAGAAGGGGATGGGAACTCTTTTTGAAGTTTTATAAATATTTCTAAGTGTTCATCTGTGAAGGTGTAGGAACATCTGCACAGATCAACATTTCTGCAGCCATCTAGGCCTCGGTCTCAACTGTTCAAGTCCTCAAATTCCTTCATTAATATCTACATTCACCCCCCCCAAGAAAACCCCACAATAAAGCCACCAATTTCTGTTTCTCACATTTATGCCTGTCTATTTTTTAGCAGATATTCCATTGACAGCAGTATAACTATTTCCGATAGTCTCGGTGGTGGTTGCTCAAATAAAGCTGCAGTTGGCTTTTTGCTCACTTGGTGTGCAAAATTAATCGGGCTGTGTAAATAAAGAAAAGAGGTGGGCTTTAAAAGTGTTGCATAATAGCTTAAAACAGATGAACACAGCATGTATACAATCTGGTTGCATTTGGGATACTAGGCTTTAGGAGTAACTATGCCATTGCACAGTAAACCATTATATCAAAATATTGGTTTGCTTTTGCCATCTGACTGAATAACATATAAATTAGCCAAGAAGCCTCTGTCAACATCATTCATTTTAATGCTAGTGTTTTCTTCTGGAAGATCACAGAAAAATTAAAAGAGAATTGTTTTTTAATGTGTCTTCTTTTTGTCTCAAAATGTATGATAGCTAACTCTATATGGTTTTTGATTGGTCCGAAAATTACATCTCACATATTGGTTTTTAGGTTCCACTTTTACTTGCTATTACGTCATCAGTGACATGTTTCTAATTTTCTTTTTAGAAGTTGAAGTTCCTACTTTTCACAGTGTGAATGTTTCATTAAGCAACGGTACAGCAACAGATATCTCTGTAGTAAATGCTAAACGTCACGTCACAGAACAAAGACACACCAAAGGTATTTTACTTCACACATTTTTTTTTTTTTAAATCTGGCCTGAAATGCTTGGGCTGGTAGTGTTCTTTTTTAATACTAACAACCCATTCTATTAATTCAACCTTGCATTGCTCCTTAGGAGTAATAAATACATGAGTATACTTGGAGTCCTTCCATCAAAAAAAGCAATAGTAACCATGAAAATCAAATAAAGTGAACGTAGATCCAAGAGTCAAAGAGAGTCAGCTAAGTTAGACGTGATGTCGTGAAGTTCTTCCAGGGTTATATCCTCCAGCCTGGTGGCAAGAAGCATGTGTGCGGTTTCTCACTTGCCTACGTAGAATATGGCAGCCCACAAGTTGTGCACCCACCCAACGGGGCCCGAAGCATCATCCTACTATTGCGGTTTTGTTTCTCTCTATCCTGATGCTTTTTTAAATTATTTATTTATTTATCTATTTTTGAACATGGATAAAGTCTGTTGGCAGCCCTTCCTGGATAATGCCCTTTGAAACTCAATTTGGAAATCTCATTAGGAAAACTTCTATGGGAAATGCTCCTTCCACAGCGAGGTCTTCACACACAGAAGACTCACAATGAAGGCATTATTAACCCAGAAAACACTGATAAAAGTATTTGGATTTTGCCCCATAAAACGGAAAGACTATATTTAAAAAGAACAGCCTTGATGTCACAGTGCTTTTGGTCAATGTTCTGGGTCATTGTAGATACTTTATTAATATCTGAGAGGACATTGAGTATTCTGAGGAACAAACTGAAACGCTGTAACTATGACATTCTAAATCTCCACTGTACAGAGTACCTACATCCTTACCATACTGAACCAACTATGCCCATGTGTTCTGGAAAGCCAAACAGAGCCTTCTTTGGGGGGCATGACCAATTAATTCTGTTCTCTCATTTGCCTCTAGACTGTGACGAAGCATGCCTATAAAGCAAATGGGCAAAAAACCTACAAGGGGTGAAATATCTCCACGACCGTCTCCTAAAGGTGGTCATATAACTTAAATGAACGCTCTGCTTCTTGGCAAGAGGTAAACTTGAGTTCCTTTGAAAACTTTGGAAATTAGGGTTAAGCTCATTTTACGCCTACGATGATAATACGTACCTAATTTTACTTGCCTTGGGCGATTTGATGTTTTCACATCTGGGAGGAATACAGGGATGTCTCCCACAGAGCGCCATATACAATTTGGGAGTTAGTGGGAAAGCTGCCCTTTCTCCAGCATAGTCGCTGATGAAAAGGATCTATTAAAAAAAAGAACTGCGTTGGTTTGCACTGCAGATTGGATGGAGGAGCAGCGAGCGACTGCATCGGCAAGACTGCAGTGGGGCCAGTGGTCTTCTGGACCGTGGAGCGCTTTAACATGTGTGCCATCGTCTTCATAACGTCCTCATTTAATCTGTCACGAACCGGTATCTGGCGGCTGGCTCTCAAACCCCACCCCCTCCAGCCATGCTACTGTTTCATCACCGCCCCCCTCAAACCCCCGCGTTAGCAAGTATAAAGAGACGAGGAAACGTGTGTACTTTCAGACTGTCGGCTGTGTTGCATGACCATGGGCGATTCCAGCAAACCACTTAGAATGGCTCCTGGGAGGCAGTCAACGATGTCGCCCCCCCTCCCCATACAGTTCAGATGTTCTTAATTTGATCATCTCCCCCGCCCCACCCCCTTCAGTTTGGACTGTAATTTTCCAAACAGCCATCTCTCATTTGCAAAAGTTAAAAATCAATCTACAGATACAGAATGCTGACTTCCTGACAGGATCTCTCTCGGAGCTGGCAAATTGTGACCAATAAATAAAAAGGAGAGAGAGAGAGAGAGAGAGAGAGAGAGAGAGAGAGAGAGAGAGAGAGAGAAAGAATCACTTGCTTCCTAAGCAGGGATTTGCCTGCGATGCGCGGCGAGAGGACTGCGGCGGCTGATTTACACAGTTGGCGCGGAGGAGGGGCCGGGGGTGCGGGGGGACAAGCTGGCTGAGGCTCCAGCGATGGGCTGATCTGGGGGCTCCCGAGCGCCGCTCCCTCGGTGCGCGATTTGGGGGCGGCTGATGGCTTTGCATTCAGGTTCCAGCCCTGCGTTTTCTATATTGCCTCCTAGTCCCCGACCTGGCGCTCCCAGTTTAGAGGCAGACGTTTGGTAAGTAACGTGTAATCTGATTTTAGTTATTTCCTAGGCCATCAAAGCGGCACTTTTAAAGCAGGTCAGTCTTAAAAAGATGCGGTCGCAGCCACCGCCGCCGCCGGGAGCGTCTCCTTGGCCTGAAACGCTCGACCCCCTCCTCTGCCCACCTCCCCCTGTCCTCCGGCTGGAGAAGTGAGGGCACACGAATGGTGGTTTGTCAGGGGACTCACACTCCGCCAACGGGATCGCATCGCCTTCGTGTTCTGCCTGAGATTTCTCAACGCCAAGTGCAATGTGGTGTGTACAGCCATACTGTTGTATCTGTGTCCTCACCCCCACCCCCTACCCCGCCACCTGACCAACGCTGGGATCTGAGATCTAGTCGCCCCCTTCCTGCCTGCTTTCTGTCTCTCCCCACCCTGTCTTCTCTCATCTCCACGCCACCCACCCCCACTCCCACCCATCCAAAGGGCAAAGAGCAAAGACACTCGGGAAAGGCAAGGGCTAGCTGCATCTCCTCCAGTAGACCGAGGCCGCAGGCAGGGATTGCGCTGTGAGAGACAATCTTTCAGTGAGACACAGAGAAAGAGAGAAATCCAGAAAGGAACCCGTGCTCCCGGGCACCGGGGAGCTGGCCACTGAAGGAAGAGCACCAAGATTTTCGATCAGGAGATCCCGGTCCTGGGACGCTCACACAGCCTGCCTGCCATCTGGGGCAAGGAACGAGAGCTGTGGTCCTGAGCCCTCGGTCTCCAGCATCACCGCGCTAGGTGCGCGCCCCGCTCTCCCATCGCTATGCAGCGACCATTTCCATCTAAATCTCAAAGGTGGACCACTCAAAACGGATTACAAGCGTGATTTGGTAGCCTTTCCGAAAGTTGGTGGCCGAAAGAGGGGAAGATCCTGGGCGACAGAATGACGGATACAATGCAGCCTCGCGGAGAGTTTGCCCCTCCCGCTGGGAAGCCCCTCGGAGCGAACCTCGGAGATCCTGAGCGCTCTGCACCATAGGTACTCGTCGCCATCCGTTCCTACTTTGCCTGATTGAAATCAGGGTGCCTCTTATGTAGGATGTGTGCTGTAGAACGCGTAGACTTTGACCGCTGGACCTTCCATACACTCACAGGTGCTAGGATGTATTATTATTATTATTAATATTAATATTTTTTTTAAAGAATTGGATCTGTTAGATGTAAGGGCATTGGTGAAGGAAGGGCTTCTGGAGACTAATACAACCTCAGACCCCCCTTCTTAAGGGGAAAGAAATCTTAACTCCAACATATAGGCCAGGTGGCCAAGGGGAGAAACCCTCCCCCCACCCACCCCGTGGAGCGCTGGGTTGTATTTTAAGAGAGAAAACGGATATATATATATATATATATATATATATATATATATATGCGTTGTGTGCCTCGCCTGCCGGCAGTAGATTATAAGAGCTTCTATAGAAGCTCATAGCTCTCCAGAAAATGAATGATGCAGCATTTTAATTATTTGTTCCAGGGAGATCGTTTCGCTTCCATATTGGAATATTTAATCTTAGATCTGGAATGAAGGGGGAGCGCTGAGGAGGGGGAGGTGGGAAAGGCAATCGCTGGGTAGAAAGAGCTTCTTGTCTTCTTGTCCTTCTCTGGACAAATAAATGGTGCCGGCGCTCCCAGCAGGACGCAGAAGAAACCAGCTCAAAGGGCCCAGCATCTCCTAACTTTCAGAGCCCTTCGCATTCTTCAGACATACAACGCTAAAATAAAGGAAAGGGAGCTTGTGGAAGGGCCTTCAGGATGTGGCCAAAGTCCAGCACTTAGCACTATAGTTCCAGAGACCCCTGGGACGCGGTTGCAGAGGCCATTTCCCATGATTGGGAAGCCCAGGATAGCCTCCTGATTACCCTTTCATTCCACTAGAGCCCAGGTTCCCACAGGATCCCTGGAACAGCTGCTACCTTTGCAGGCTGGGTGACCAAGGTACTAGGCTGGGGGTGCTGGGGAGGGAGGTGGAAAGGACTGTGTCCTGAGTACAGCCTTTCTGTGTAAGCTTGTTTCCAGGTGGAGACCTCTCTGAGAAAAGGGTGGGTCTGGGAAGAGAAGGGTGCAGGATTTTAAAGAGTCTTTCTGCCTGCTTACTGAGTGTCATCACTGTTTCCAATCTTAGCTACTGTGGGGCAACGGACAGCAGCACAGATATTTTTAAGGCAAGCTATCCTCTAGATCTTAGACTTACTTTTAAGGAACGCTTTGGTGAACTAGATAAAATAGATTTTAGATTGGTAAGAAATTCATACCCATGCTGCTGCACCTCCTCCACCACCACTTCTTCTTCTTCTTCTTCTTCTTCTTCTTCTTCTTCTTCTTCTTCTTCTTCTTCTTCTTCCCTTTTCCTCCTCCTCCCTCCTCCTCCTCCTCCTCCTCCTCCTCCTCCTCCTCCTCCTCTTTCTTCCTCTTTTACAATTTGATTTTGTAAGATGCCTTAAGGGAAATCCATCTTCTCTCCCACCAACTTTGAGGCCCTGGCAATGGAGTTCATTTATTTAGTGGTCAGGAAGCCCCCGCCCCCTATGAATTGGTGACAGGATGGGGGAAAAGGTTCCTGTATTCTGGACAAACTACACACTTCCTGCTCTACAGATCCTCTTGCTGCTTGTTTGGCAGTCCCCAGATTCACCAGCAAGTTGTGCTTTCTTCTAGCCCATAGGGCCTTTGAAAACTCCTTTTAGAGGGAGAGAGAGAGAGCTGTTTGCTTCTACCCTGTCAAACCTCAATTCAATCATCTCTCATCCTGATACTCCTTATTATTACTTTTAGAGAATATTAGAAAGGAAAGAGAAGTGGAAAGGGAGAAGGAAGAGGCGAGGAGCAATGTTCAGCAGGAGGAACTAAAAAAGAAGAAATCCAATGGCAAAAATCTCCCTCCCTTGAGGTCTTCCAGAAGAGTGTCAATGGTCCCATTGCTATTCAAGGTTCTTCATCCTCCTACTTGGGGAGGAGGGGGGATAGAGAGAAAGGGAAGGAAGGAAGGAGAAAGAGAAAGAGAGGGAGAGATAGGGAGGAAGGGATGGAGGGATGGAGAGAAAAAAGCTGGGAAGGGATGAAAGAATAAAGAAAGGATGGAAGAAAGGAAAGAAAAAAAGAAAGAAAAGAGGAAGGAAAAGTAAAAAGTTGGAAGGAAATGCATGGCTGTTGGGTCCAAAGGAAATCAAAGGCTTTGGGCAGCAACAAAATAATTCTGGTGCAAAGGGATCGAAGCAAAATGCAGGAGAAAGTCAGTCCAACTATCCGAGGATGGTTTAGCTCTTATTTGGGACACCCAGCCAAAGAGAGCCAGCCAGACTGGGCTCTTCCACCTGCGGGCTGTGGGTATCTAGCTAATCATAGCCTCTGAGAGGAGCTCGGTGAAAAGAGAAACCCATCCCAAAGAGGGTTTCACTTTCCACAGCCTTTGCACAGGAGATGAGAACTAGAAAGCAAAGGTCCAGGGGAAGATACTCCTCTCAACCTCTGCCCCAGGCCCTTCCTCCAAAGAAATGTTTCTCTCGGGTGCTCTTCTCCCCTTTCTCGATTTTGCTTTGTTTTTCTGAACATTTATTCTCTTGAATGCTTTACTTCTTTTAGCTCCCTTTCATGCTCTCTTGCGCGCGCACGTCTATGCGCGCGCACGTGCACACACACACACACACACACACACACACACACACACACACACAAGTATATAGTCAGGGCGTCTTAGTGCTTGCTTCCTATCCAAGGCTAAGCGTGTTCCACTTCCTGAAGCCCATTATTTTCATGACGTGAAGTGATGGACGGTTTTCAGCACGCATTAAAAATCAAGTAAAAAATACAGCGCCGAACAAGTCCGAATCCTGCACTGTGATTGAGCCTGCCCCCAATCCTCTTCCCCCCACCCCCCCGCCCCTGCGTGCCCAATGGTGTAGGGTAACCCGGGAGAGCAGCCACGGAGGCGACGCGCCCAGCAGCAGAGGAGCTGGAAAGCCTGCTGCAGCCTCATCTCCTCCTTCCTCTATTGAGAGTGCCAAGCGGCAGTCCTGCATCCTAAAGAAGCCCATTGAAGCGCCCATTGCATTCTCAGCACGTCTCAAGCTAGCTTTTTAATTTATTTTTTTTTTTAACGGCCTCCTCCCCTCCTCTCTAGCCCCCTAGCTTCAGCAAGACTAGACTGGATAAGACAGACACCTTAAACTCAAGCTTTGTTTTTGTTGCTGTTCGGTTTGTTTTTTTTTTTAAGTTCTTTTCCATAGTCAGTGCTGAAAAACAAAAAAATAAAAACAAAAATGCAAACCTCCTGCAAAATAGGTAAGTCAACGACGCCTGCAGCCTGGTTGTCTAAAGCCCAGAGGTGTGAAAACCAAGAAAAAGCATTTTCTAGAAAGAATGAGGAGGAACGTAAGTAGATTCTAACATTTTACAAGGAAGCCTAGGGAAGACCAAGTGATACTGCTATGCGCCCTCATCTGCTTTCTCCTTTTCATTTAATTGTTTCTAAAAATTGACTATTACATGCCGGAGGCAGATTCCACTTTGCTTTCTCAAGAGTTTCTCCTTGCAGCTGTGTTCATGCTATGCCAATGGAAAGCAAAGATAGTGTCTTCCCACTTTCCCTATAAATTATCTGCTTGTGTTCCTTGGGTTCCAAGTTAAGGAATATTTCCTTGATATACATATCATAGGTGGGAGCAACCATATGTTAGAGACTTTGATTTATTTTTATTGATTAAATAAATATTTAAATTCCATTGACATTTCACTGACTTGCGAAGGACAATGTAATAAGAGTGGAACATTTTGATGTGTTTCTATACACATTTTCATATGCTGAGGGCACTAAGCAACGCAAGAAAACCTTTGCAGGAGGCACCGTATGTTCTCAGAATAGGGCACCAGATTCATGTCTTCTCATAGGAAAAGTAAATGTCTTTTCTAAAATGTTTTCACAAGCCAGATAATTTATCAGCAAGAATTGAGATTCTCACCAACCATAACCTTTAACTACCTACTTCTTTTCCGAGCGACTCCTGTCCCCTTACAGCTTTTTATGGTTCCTCAGTTAATTCCCCAAAGCACAGACTCACTCCAAACTAAGCTCTTGCAAGGGCTTTGCCTCCGACACTCCCAGGCTTAGCCACCTTTAGCTACCACTATCTTTAGCTCTGAGAATTGCACGGGCCTAATTCTTCAGATATCTCATCACTCCTAATGCTTTAAAAAGCCAAATGAGAAGATATGTAGAAATTATTTATTTCACTAAAGGATACTTATATTTTCTGTGCTTGGGCAAAAAGGGTTGGCGTTTGAGGATGGAATTGAGTAGCTTTTCATGGTTCCTTAAAAGAAACTTAAGTTTTTCATTGCTGTCTTTCACATCTCAGCACCTGATATTAGGCAATAGGTTTGCCTTTTTCCATACTCTAATATCTTTGGGTGATAGCATGTTTGATTTTGAATATTAAATTGTACAGTTTGAAGAACACCCTCTTTTCCTATGACTTCCCATAAGATTTGAAATGACAAATCTTAGTTTACAGAGGAAAGCAAGGAAAATGACTAAGCCATTGCCTTTATGGCTGAATCTGCCTATGCCAAGGCCGAGTCAGGTTTCCGATTGTGTTGTTTTTATAAGAGGAAGTCAGTGCAAGCTGCTTTTGCTCATGCCCCATAACACTTACTGAACAGGGCTTGGTTCAGGAAAATGTCACTGTATGTTACAATATGTCAGTCTCTTAAACTGAAAATACAGGGAACACCTTAAACATCAAGCTTGGTGCTGCCTCATTTGGAACATCAGTTCAGTAGCTGCTGAGGTTTTCAAACCACCCTTGTTGTTGTTGTTGTTGTTTAATAAATAACCCAGTTGTAGGAGTCCAATCGAGTAGTACAAAAAAAAGCTAAAAATCTGCATCTTTAATTCTGTTGCAGTTTTGTAATCAGCCACGAATGATGAAGCCGTCTATAGCTGAGATGCTTCACAGAGGGAGGATGCTGTGGATAATTCTTCTAAGCACAATCGCTCTTGGATGGACTACTCCAATCCCCCTGATTGAGGACTCAGAGGAAATAGATGAGCCCTGTTTTGATCCATGCTACTGCGAAGTTAAAGAAAGCCTCTTCCACATACATTGTGACAGCAAAGGATTTACAAACATTAGTCAGATTACTGAGTTCTGGTCAAGACCCTTTAAACTGTATCTTCAGAGGAATTCCATGCGGAAATTGTACACCAATAGTTTCCTTCATTTAAATAATGCTGTGTCCATTAACCTTGGGAACAATGCATTGCAGGACATTCAAACCGGCGCTTTTAATGGTCTTAAGATTTTAAAGAGACTATATCTTCATGAGAACAAACTAGATGTCTTCAGAAATGACACCTTCCTTGGCTTAGAAAGTCTGGAATACCTGCAGGCAGATTACAATGTCATTAAACGTATAGAGAGCGGGGCATTTCGGAACCTAAGTAAATTGAGGGTTCTAATCTTAAATGATAATCTCATTCCTGTTCTTCCAACCAATTTATTTAAGGCTGTCTCCTTAACCCATCTGGATTTACGTGGAAACAGGTTAAAGGTCCTCTTCTACCGCGGAATGCTCGATCACATTGGCAGGAGCCTGATGGAGCTCCAGCTAGAAGAGAACCCTTGGAACTGCACCTGTGAGATTGTTCAGCTGAAGAGTTGGCTGGAGCGGATCCCGTACACCGCCCTGGTGGGGGACATCACCTGCGAGACGCCTTTCCATTTCCACGGGAAGGACCTCCGAGAAATCAAGAAGACAGAACTCTGTCCGTTGTTGTCTGACTCGGAGGTGGAGGCCAGTCTAGGGATTCCCCACTTGCCATCAGGCAAAGAGAACGCCTGGCCAACGAAACCTTCTTCAATGTTGTCCTCTGTTCATTTTACAGCTTCTTCTGTTGAATATAAGTCCTCCAACAAGCAGCCAAAACCCACCAAACAGCCCCGAACACCCAGACCACCATCTACATCCCAGGCTTTATACCCTGGTCCAAATCAACCTCCCATTGCCCCCTATCAGACCAGACCACCTATTCCCATTATCTGTCCAACTGGCTGTACGTGTAATTTGCATATCAATGACCTTGGCTTGACTGTCAACTGCAAAGAACGAGGATTTAACAACATCTCAGAGCTCCTTCCAAGGCCCTTGAATGCTAAGAAGCTCTACCTGAGCAGCAATCTGATTCAAAAGATATACCGCTCTGATTTTTGGAATTTTTCTTCTTTGGATCTCTTGCACCTGGGGAACAACCGTATTTCCTATGTCCAGGATGGGGCTTTCATCAACCTGCCCAACCTGAAGAGTCTCTTTCTCAATGGCAACGACATAGAGAAGCTGACACCAGGTATGTTCCGAGGTCTACAGAGCTTGCATTACTTGTACTTCGAATTCAACGTCATTCGGGAAATCCAACCTGCAGCCTTCAGCCTCATGCCCAACTTGAAGCTGCTATTTCTCAACAATAACTTGCTGAGGACCCTGCCAACTGATGCCTTTGCAGGTACATCCCTAGCTCGGCTCAACTTGCGGAAGAACTACTTCCTCTATCTGCCAGTAGCTGGCGTCCTTGAACACTTGAATGCCATTGTGCAGATAGATCTCAATGAGAATCCTTGGGACTGCACTTGTGACCTGGTCCCCTTTAAACAGTGGATTGAAACCATCAGCTCAGTCAGCGTGGTAGGTGATGTACTCTGTAGGACTCCCGAGAACCTCACCCACCGTGACGTGCGCACTATTGAGCTGGAAGTTCTATGCCCAGAGATGCTGCATATTGCACCGCCTGGACCATCCCCACCACAGCCTGGAGATTACCACCCGAATGGAGCACCAACAAGTTCATCACCGTATGAGTTCTCTCCTCCCGGGGGCCCTGTACCACTTTCTGTGTTGATTCTCAGCCTGCTGGTTCTTTTTTTCTCAGCAGTCTTTGTTGCTGCAGGCCTCTTTGCCTATGTGCTCCGTCGCCGTAGGAAGAAGCTGCCCTTTAGAAGCAAGCGGCAGGAAGGTGTGGACCTTACAGGAATCCAGATGCAATGTCACCGACTGTTCGAGGACACTGGGGGCAGTGGCGGTGGGAATGGAGGTGGAGGTCGACCAACTCTGTCCTCTCCAGAGAAAGCCCCTCCCGTGGGTCATGTGTATGAGTACATCCCCCACCCAGTTACCCAGATGTGCAACAACCCCATCTATAAGCCTCGAGAGGAGGAGGAAGTGGCTGCCTCAGCAACCCAGGAAACAGGAGCTGCAGAACGTGGATGTCCTGGAACGACGCAGCCTCCAGGAATGGGTGAGGTGCTCTTAGGAAGTGAGCAGTTTGTGGAAACACCCAAGGAGAATCACAACAACTACCGGACCTTGCTGGAAAAGGAGAAGGAGTGGGCCCTGGCGGTTTCCAACTCCCAACTCAACACCATAGTGACGGTGAACCATCACCACCCTCATCCTCACCACTCGGCAGTCGGTGGGGTCTCAGGGGTAGGTGGAGGGACTGGGGGAGACTTGGCTGGGTTCCGCCACCACGAGAAGAATGGTGGGGTGGTGCTGTTTCCCCCTGGGGGAGGTTGTGTGGGTGGCAGTCTGTTACTAGACCGTGAGAGGCCACAGCCTGCTCCGTGCACAGTGGGATTTGTGGACTGTCTCTATGGCACAGTGCCCAAATTAAAGGAACTCCATGTCCACCCCCCTGGCATGCAATATCCAGACTTACAGCAGGACGCCAGGCTCAAAGAAACCCTTCTCTTCTCAGCTGGAAAGGGCTTCACAGACCACCAAACCCCCAAAAGTGATTACCTCGACTTAAGGGCCAAACTTCAAACTAAGCCGGATTACCTCGAAGTTCTGGAGAAGACAGCATACAGATTCTAACAGAGAGAAGAGAATAAAAGGGTGGCTTGGTCTTGGTTTTCAAGAGAAAAGGAAAATAAAAAGAAATATATCCCCGGCACCCATTATATTTGTCCCGGTAACTCCACCTCACAGTTCCCGCCTGCCCAGGACAGAACTGAAACGCATGATAACTAGAGAATACAGAAGTGGGCTCTCCCCTCTCAGATGTGATTTTTGAGGAAGGGCCATCCTCAGATCATTAATCAATGAAGTGCCTTCGCAGACTTTTGCCAGCAAATGTTATCATTATTTTTTATACTGAAACTCGAGACTTGGACTGTGCCATGTGTGAGGTATTTCGGGGATCGTTGTATTGATCCTAATTGAGTAAAATTCAATGTGTCCTTTTATTTTCAGTAACTTTTCTTCCCTTTAGTTGCAGTTTATGTTTGAAAGGGGGGGGGGAGGCTGACATTTATGGCTTTCTCTCCTTTTTCCCCGTCGTGGCACAGATTCTGTACATGTATTAACAATGCAGTTTGCCGCATGCTTCAAAACTGCAGGCTGGGGAGGGAGGGGCGGGTCTTGCTCGAATGTTCTCACACTGTCGTCTCTCACACACTTACTCATATGCACACAGAAAACCTCTACATACACTTAGGTCCCTCAATCTGCACTGGGTGCAGCATGTACGCACACACACACACACACACACACACACACCCCTCCCATACGACTTGATCTGCTTAGTTCGGGTTTGATCCATCTTTTCCTCTCCATAGGTCCACATGCCCTTCCTTCCTAGTGTACAGTTCACAGCATCTCTCCTACCACCCTGGGAAGAGTCACATTCGAGGCTGGATCCTACTGAAGTGAAGGCTTGTTGGTTTAACAGCTGGAGACACACCTAGGGATGAGCATCCTTCTTGTGACATTTCATCCTGATGCCAAGATTTTTTGAGAACATCTGCACTTTCTTATATATATATATATACATATATGATATTAAAAAAATAAAAAAGCAACTGGGTATATATCACTAACAGCTTTGTAGGAAGCACTTTTAATGTTTTCTCTCTCACACACACAAAGATTCAAAAGAAATGTGCATATATTTATTCTGTAATTTCAGTGATTATAAATTGTAAAGGTAATGTTTAATCATTGTATAGTGATTATGCGTCTGGTATAGCTTTCCTAATAAAAAGTTTTTGAAAAACATAATACATTATATATAGAAGATATAAAGCTTGAATTTAAACTCCAGCTATGCCATGCCTTTCGTACTCCCATTTAAAAAACATTTATTTTACTTGATATACAGAAAGCTAATTGATTAACAAGTTTGATGCACTGTGATATTGACCAATCTTATTATAGATTATTCATATCCCATATCAGGATTAAATTGGAGCTTGGATATGCTAATCTATAGTTGATTTTTTCCTGGGTTATAAACATTTCAAATTCGGTTTCCCAGTGAGGCACTGCTCCATAGGTGGGGTGCGACTGGGAAGAAAGAAAGGGGCTGAAGTGAGGAGATGCAGGGTTATTCTGGGTAAGATTACTGAGCATCCTTGTGTTTCAAGACAGGAGACGGCATGAAGGAACAGAGAAACGAAATAGCTCTCCTTTAAATAACAACGAACCCTAAAATTAGATACATCAGCAGCTTAGGTATCACCACACTCTCCTCGGTCCCAGAAAATCCGAGGATAAATGGAACTGTGGAATATCTGTTCATCTGCGAAAGTTGTCAATTTTTTATGTTTGGACACTGCTTTCCCAATCTCTCCACAGCAAATGAACCCAGAAATGCTTGAACTAAGACGTATGATACTAATTAAGTTTTCTTTTCCTGTATGGAATTAAAAAATGTTTCAAAGTTAACTTGAAGATACTTTTAAGTTATGATCCATTTATACACGAGCAAAACCAAAGAAAATTGAAATTTAGAACGCAAGACAGGAGTAGAAAGGCACTTACCCGGGCTGGCCAGTAGAGGGCAGCAGAGACCCAGCGATATCCAGACGCACCCACTACCGAGTTGTAAAGAGAAGCTACAGTTCCTTCAAGCGCCCTTAGAAATGATCACTACATGCTGAATGTAATTCACCATGAGTCGCGGAGGCCTTACATTACATCATTCCCCCCCCCCCAAAAAAAAGGATAAAACCACAAGTTTCTAAAGCTTTGTGGTATAAACATTAAGACATTGTATTAAATAATGGGGAAAAGTGAATGTCTAGAACATGTTTATATAATCATTGAAACTACATGCAGATGTGCATACAGATAAAATACACAAGTACATAAATATTTTTAAAAAAACGCACTTTTCAGGGCTTCTTTGCATTTGATATAATGGCATCTGTAACTTCTGTCCTCAGCTGTTCAGTCTATTTGGGAGTTCTTTCAGAAAGTCCAGAAAAACTAATTATTTTCTCTTTATGTACAATATCGAAATGAAGCTTTTCTTCCTCAGGAGAGTTGAACCCCTTATAAAAGAGATGACATGGTTTCAAACTGTCCTACAGCCTACCTTCGTAGGATATCTCACCTTCCATAGTCTTTCTGATCATCTTTCCCTATTTACAGTGTTCACGTCTTTCTTTCTTTCTTTCTTTCTTTTTTTTTGGAATAAAATGACAATACTGTTCCTACAGGCTTCACAACAGGATTTGGGGGAAATATCTGCAGTGACTATGAACACTGTTGCAAACTGCAGTTACTATTAACCTTCTGGTTCTTCCTAATCAATCATTGGTTGAGCAAACCTGAGAGCAAAAATACGTAGATCCTACAAATCCTAATTACATCTTCCTAGAATACCATGTATTCACACAGCACAGTCTATTAAATACATCAGGTTCAATGGCATCCCTAAGGTCCCTGGTGCTTTGGACATTTGGAAAACAAGTCTCCATAAACCTTATCAAATGAAAATATAACTTGATAAATGTAATATTTGTATTTTATTTATTAAATATTTAGATAGGACTGTCTTATCTTAGATTTCAACCTTGAATGAAGAAAAAAAATTTGTTATATAGTGAAAAAAAATTCATGTAATAATGAAATTTTATATTTAAGAGGACAATAATTTGCTTTCATGGAGTTTTCTATGCCCTGACTCAGCCACTTCTTTTAAGTTTTGCATTAAAACTAAGTTAATGATAAAATTAAAACTACGGTTAAACTAATTTAGTTTGCAACAATAGACATTATTTCCATTAAATTCCCTGGATATTAGTATGAGGATGGATTAGCAACTGTTTTGTGTTTCTTATTGGAGCAAATTGCTTATTTTTCTTTTGCTAAGTAGATGACAATTTCCCTTGAAAGCAATGTTCTACTACAGAGATCCACCAAGATCTGACAGATTTTTTGCTTTTATTCATTACTATTTTCTCAGTAAATACAATCACAGTGTTTGGAAATTGCAAATGCATTGTGATATCTTTTCAACTCTGACTTGATTTGGGCACAATGGTAGCAGATGAGCAGTTAAATTCAGAATAGTTTCCAAATGTTATATATCAGTATATGGTATTATATATGTAGATGTTTTATATTTTGACTAGAAAGATATTATTTCATCAAATTGCAAAATTATTTAAAAATAGGGTGATGAATATGATATTTTAAATAAAAGTTCAGAAAGAAATTAACAGAGAAAGTTTAATGACTGATTTGGAAACTTCCTTTTTTTTAACTTGGAAATTTTAGCTGTAAAGCCTTATCATCTCATGAGAACTTGAGTCTAGGTTTCTGAAAGTCCCAATGCTGATGCAGGAGGATGCTTCTCAGCAATCCTAATACAGCGTTAGCCCCATTCAGTGTACAGCCAGTATTTGCACGGATCTATCCTTTGCCAATTTCATTGTCCACGTGAATAATGTGAATAAGTTTTGTATTTCTCTGAAATGACCTTGATGGAGGAAAAGCCCATGAAATCCCCCACAGAATGACCCTGACGATCAAGGACAACACGGGGAAATGATGACATAAGGGACTTTACAACTCAAGTGATTGAACACACGCATTTGTAACTGACTCAGCTCAAAACCCTCAACTATGAAACTTCAGGTGAACAGCATAGACCTTTAACTAAATTCATTGCATACGTGTTCTATCTAATGTATTTACAGTCCTTTAAGGGTAATCAGAGCAATAACACATGTAAATTTGGCAATTGCGTACAGATACATAGTGGTATTATACATGTATGCATATTGGATACACATGTATATAGCTTATATATGCAGAATTATATGTAAATCATGCATTTTCCTACATGTGTAATGACTTCAGCTTTCTGCACTTATTTTTGTGGCTTTCCTCTAGACACCATACAGATAAAACTGGATGAAATGATAAGTTTTCACTTTGGGTATCTCCACACGTAAAAAGTGAAACTGTAATCAAGATTTTTTTAATTTAAAAGTTTTTTTTTTACCCTACCATTTTGTTCCAGTTCATTTTTTGAACCACAAAGAACAAAAATCTCAGTTAAAAATGCTTATTTGTTTTAACTAAAAATTCACAGCAAGGGAACTTATTTCTTATCTGTATGCGACATTAGTCAAATGAAAACACATGCTGCCCCTTCCAGTTGCCTGCCTCGGCTAAATTTTGCAGGTGAAAACAATTTTGGCTACTCCTTTAATTGAACTGCCTCTTTGTAAAGTATCTAAAGACAGACCAAGCCTGAACGGGGGAAGATAGAATGCAAGAGGATGGAAAGACCTTTTATAACATCTATATCGCTTACTATTTAGGACATCAGTTACTCTTACTATTCCTAAAATGTTTAATAACACATGCAAACAAAAGCAAGGACAGGCAGTTTCATGATGCTCTTCCGTCTGCAGCGGAGTTTTTTACATCAGAAACGGGTGTGAATAAAAGCTGTCCCAGTGCCAAGGTGAATACCTCAGCCCATTTGTCATGGCTGATAACATTGGCTCCGGAGAATAACATGCATATTTTTGAGAAACCATATTTCCTTTCCATCACACATAGCTATTCAAGCAGCTTTAAAGTTTTAATAGAAAATAATGCATATAATAGACTTCATAGATATATGGCCACAATGTAAGAATTTATGATTTGACTCAACTCTTACCTTTAAACACTATTAAACAATAAACATTGCTGAAAGAAGGTTTCCTTCACTGCCACTTGGTTATGCAAAGGGCCAACCTGCTTAAATTGACTTTTTAAATATAACTTGCTCAGTTATTTTCAGAGAATCACCTAATTGGGTTTGCAATGCACACTGTATCAAAACAAAGTAAGTTTCATCAGAAAGTATGTGCTGGTGACCACATTCAATCTTTAACGCTTTGTTTCAATTCATTTGTAATGTTTTCTAATTTTGTTTGTAGATTTGACTCTTTGGTTTCTTTACTAATACCTTACTTAAATGCCTAAGCTCTTTTCTAAACTCACTAGATAGTCCAGGCAGAACTTAATCTCACAACAATTCTCCTGCCTCAGCCTCTGGAGAGCTGGGACTAGAGGTATGAGCAATCACAAAAGTCAGTTCCTTATGTGTGGTAAATTAGCCATGTTTTTGCTTTTGTACATACATTTGTATGAAAAAAAAAAAACCACAGCATGATGGCTGTAAATCGATTAAATACCAGAATTAAACTTCCCCTACTAAAGGTTGACAAACGTACCTTTGAAAATACATTTGAAACAGAAGTGCCGTTCAGACAGAGTGGAAGAGAGCTCTTTCTCCAGCCTTTTCCTTCCAATATTCCTGATTGCTCTGCAGCATAGTCAGGTTCTGAGTCAGTGCTCAGGTGTCCTGGCACCAAAGACCTGTTCAGTGAGCTCAGGAGAGCTGAGGTGAAATCAGGGGTTGATGAGAGCCCTCAGCTCAATGGCTGAGCATCTGGGTCGTTTATCTTGTCTCTGAATTAAGACCATAATTCAGCTCGTTCTCCTTATGGAGAAGCCATTTACATTTGGTGAGAAAAGTCGAAACCTGTAATATAGTGAAATGATCAGCGAGTAGAGAGAATCAGCACACACTTGAAACAGCGTCAAGTGCTGAATCTCGGACCTTGTTTTCCATCCTCCAAAACACCCATCGCCTTTGTCACAGCATCCAAACTATTGGCTTAACTAAACTACTAATGGTATCATTACATTTAGGTCTCATTTTTTTTATGACATTTCTTTGCCTACTTCTCACTGTTGAAAGTGATGTTCTCCGGATATCACAGTGCATTGTGGAATTCTCTCTCTTTAAAACAAAATTCTGATGAAATGATTCAACTGGTTTTTGAGATTCAGTATTTTAAAAATATAAAAATGAAAATAGTCTCTCCATTGCCATGTTGAATTCTATCTTTCTTTTAAAATAGAATTCTGATGCAATGATTCAAATTCTTTTTGATATGCGGTATTTAAAAAGATAGTCTGTCAACCATGTTACTTAATAACATCATCTGTAATGAAACGGTGTTTAGATTAACCACCATATGATCTACAGAAATAGAGTACTTTATATGTGTTATAGCTATTGTTTTGCTTTTTGGATTTTTTGTTTGTTTGTTTGTTTTATATTTGTGTTCTTTGTGGGTTTGGGGGTCCAAAGTTGAAGTCTGAGTTCCTATTTCTAAAAGACAGCTCTTTTGAAGTAGGCACAGACTATGTTAATTTGGTTCACATCCATCAGTACATGGAAAAATCAAGCTTATGAATCTTCCTTTTATCCTCACTGTGCCATAGCAACAAAAAGGCTCACGGAAACAGAGGGGAAATGATAATGCCCTTCTCTCACAAGTACTTCATCTAGCTTTGGGGACTAAGTTTGAGCTATATTTTTGCATTAACCACGTGGGACACTGACTTTGGAAGGTTTAAATACATAAGAGGTTACTATGTATTTTTCCTTTCTTCTAAGCCACTCCAATTAACCATCTGTTAATATATTCACTGACTGACATGCAATTCAACTTGAAGAGCAGCTAAACTAACTGTAATTAAAAATAATTTCTGATATAAAAATATCATTGGAGAAACACACAATAATAGAGATTACATAATTTAACTTAGTTTATGGTCTAAATACATAAAATAAATTGTGTTTTTTTCATATTTTTATACATTCAACAGTTTTGTTGTTTGGTAATTTCACATATGTATGTAATCTATTTAATCACACCTATCCACCGTTTCTCCCCTATACTTTCTTCTGGATCCCGAAAATTAATATGCCTTCTCAACTTCATGTCTCCTTGGTTTAGAAAATAACCCAATGTGTCTAATTAGCACTGCCTTTAAAAGCAAATGATTTGGTAGTTTTTCCAGTGTCAACTTTATTTATTTTAAGGTCAGTTTAATACAGCTTTTTCTTAAATCCCATGCACCAGTTCATTTAAGAAATATGACCTAATTACTAATATCTATTCAGGAAGGAATTATTGTTTGAATATCCGCAGTTTATCACACAATATATTTAGGCACTATGAGGACAGTTCTAAATCACAATTGCAAATATTTGAAGAGATTATTTTAATAGCGGATATCAGGAACAATATTTATTCAATGTGGTTTTAAATAGTGGGTATAAGGAACATAAGATTTAGTCAATGTGGTCACATAGACAAGAGGTACACTAATATGCTGCAAAGCCCTCAAGCATGTCTTTGGGGTTCTGAAATGAGATGGAAGTCTAAAGAGAGAGCCAAGGATTTGCACAACCAATGAAAATTTTTTTTATCAGATACAGTATTTGGTTCATATTTTTATTTGTATTTAGAATTCTAAGACAGTAAAAGGCATTGACATTGTTTCTTAATTTGAACCACAATTCTTCTCTCCATCAGTGAAGACTTTTCATGTGTATATTCTGTAAATGAAGTCCTACAGATTAAAACTTTGTTCAGAGATTGCAGTAGGGAATGAAAGAAGAGAGACTGGAGATGCAGACAGCTTGAGTTCCTTCCCTTTCTATGTCTTTAACTGATAGTTGAATATTGTTCATATAAATTCTGGGTATGTAGGTGTGTGTGTGTGTGTGTGTGTGTGTGTGTGTGTGTGTCTGAGAGAGAGAGAGAGAGTGAGAGAGAGAGAGAGAGAGAGAGAGAGAGAGATTTCCGTCATTAACAGTTTTGTCCAGTAAGACAGTTTATATAATGTTTATAAAATAACATTTTACAGAATAGGATTAAAATTTTGACAAGCCACAGTGAGGAACCATGATGACTGTACAAAATGGAGATGTAATGTCTACTGACTGGTCTCTGGCTTACAGTAGTCTCTAACAGTAATTAGACGTGGATAAACGTGGATAAACAACTCTGCTCTGTTCAATGTACTCACCCTACTTGAAGAGGTTGGAATTTACAATTTTTAAGTATCATTAGGTCCTAAGTGGAAGAGGTAGAATGCAGATATTTACTCTGAGACATTTCTGAAACCTCTCTCCTGCATAACTGCAGAAATATATTCACCATAAATGTATCTTCATTCGTGTGTTGATTGTCTGTTCCAAGAATCCTGGGGTTGCAAAGATATTATATGAATTTGAAAGTATAGTCTACCTTCAC